TTTTTCATTAAGGTGGGATTCATTCTCGCACCATCACTAAAATTTGCTGAGTTGAACACTGCAAAGGCTAAATTTGGTGTCCACATTGCATAAAGCATGGTACAAAGTTAAAGTAAAAGCCGAATTAGAACCAGAACCAACCATGCTGTATTATTGCTTTAATCCCTGATTCCTTTCGTATCCAACGGTCCTACTGGACTAGATGGCAAAAAGAAGCTAATCGAGACCGTCCAAATAAAGAATCGAATCTATAGGAGTAAATTCCTTTTCCATAATTTGTTTGGTGGTGGGCGGATGGATACACATCACATGCATTATCAGATTATCTTCTATGAAAAAGAAAAGGAGAAACAAGGCAAAGATTGCATGCGGGCATGAGATGTCAATTTTCATGCAGCAAATCAACGTCCTATATCAACAGATGCTCATCAATGCTATTTTTGGTGTGTTAATTAGTTGATGAAAGGTATCCATATGGTTTGATTGCAATTTTATGGTTCATTTGTTTAGGATATGCCTTTACTTTGTCCAAGTGTTTAGTATTTGATCACACAAATAGAAACAAATGGGGAGAAGTGCGACTTTGGCCAAAAGATCGCAAGTACTGTGCATTGTTCAAAGCGTTTCTCTTTGCATTATGTAATCACTAGCCTTCATGCACACGCTCACGCGCATGCAGTGCAGAAGATATATTTGAAATCTCGGCGTACTACGCGCGACTTATACATTTTAAATGTATTTATATACGTGAATTGACAAAATAAAAGTCAAATATTTGAAGTAAATGAATAATCTTAGATTATGCTAGAAAAACCCCTAACAAACCAATCAAAGTAGCTAAATTCATATAATAAATTCGGTCTTTTAATTTCCATCTACATTCTATTAAATTTACATTAAGAATAAAGAAAATAATATTTAATAATGTTTAATAAATAACTAATTGAATCACATTAGTGCTATTCTAGCGCACCCCTCACCCCTTTAGTGTAAATAATATCGTTTGTTAAAACAAACAATCATTTGACAACTAATTTAATCACATTATTATGCATGTGCGAAAGACCTTCTTTATGATTGGCATTACACATCTCTTAAGATGTTTTGAGCGTGTTTAAAAATAGAGAAAATAATATTTAATGAACAACTGATTAAATCACATTATTGATAGCCTATTGTGAGGTACTAATTAAAAAAATTAAAAAAAATGTACAAAAAGAATTAATTATTAAAAAACACTATTAAAATGATGAAAATGCACCTATATTATTTGGTGCATTATTTTGGGTTGCTTTTGAAATTTTTTGTTTTGGGGGCATTTTTGTCCAAAACTTTTTTGTGGAGTCAAAAATAATCAAGAAAACTATAGAGGCGACACGTGAACTTTTGGGATAAAAAGACAAAATTACCGTCGAGGCACACCGAGATTTTCATGCGCATGCAACGGACAATAACGGCTCAATCAAGGAAGAGTCAAAGGTGATCAAAATTAATGGTATTTATTCAAAACCCTCTCATCACTCCTCATCAAATCCTCACTCAAAAGGTAACTTCCAATTATCGTATTTAAATTAGGATTGATTACCAAGTTAATTGCAAAATATTATTTCACATAATATCTTACAATTAAACTCATAAAACCACCATAAGTGGCCAGTCCCTATTCTCTAAATAGGGTCGGTCACTCTCTATTATTTTGCAGGTGCATTTTAGTCAATAGAGAAGAATGCGGAAATTTACATCCACATTTTTGGTGAAGTTGTGATCCCAAAATAGGTTGCTGACTTTATATATAAAGATTAAGGGTGTAAATAAGCCAGAGTCAATTCCTAAATACCAAGGCTTTCAAGCTCGAGCAAAGCTTAGCTCTAATAACTTTCTCAAGACCGAGCTTATTGCTGGCTTGGCTAGGTTCATTTCAAATGAGCTTAACCTTCATTTGGCTCAAATTAATTATAAATTCGAAAATAATGGAGTGTTTGGAACAAGAGCTTTAACATTCTTTGAACGTAGACTTAATTATGCACTACAAAACTCGAGAGAGAGATTTGGAAATTACTAGACGCAATATATAGGAGAGAATTCAAATGACAAGTTTCAAGATGTGCTCGTAGGCATTTATAGTATGAAGTATTAGCTTTGTACAAAGTTTTAAAAGACACTTGACACTAGTCGTGGGTAGGAGCCTAAGTGAGCCTAGACATAAGTGCTTATTTTTTTTAGTTAAACTTATTATATAACATATAATGTCTACATATACTAAAAAAAAATGTATTAGAAAACATAAATTGTAAAATAGAATGATATATACATTATTAAATACTAGAACATGTAGAAACATAGGTTTGAAAAACATAGGTTTCACAAATGATCCTTAAAATTGACTTACCTTATCAAGATAGTCAGTAATTAACGTAGTCTCTGAAAATAGGTGTCGCATATCAATATTGTCCTTCCGTCACAATTTCGTAAAAAATTATGTTATGTGCTGATGTGGCACATAACTGGATCCCACAATCTAATTAAATATTGTCTATATGGATTTAAAATATTTAAAAATTAAAAACATATTTTTTTTATATAACTAAAAACTTAAAAAAGGAAAAAGAGAAGAAAAATAACTTAAAAACCATCTACTTCATCTACTCAACTTCTTCCCCTCCCACCGCAACCGAACACACCAGCCGTTTTGCAATCCCTCCATCTCCATTTTTCTCAACGATGAGTTTCCATTCACCACCTTCATCGACACCGTCGTCGTGATTTTAGAGCCATTGTACAACCAAAATTTTTAGTTCTCCAAAAAAGACAAAATTTGACCTGTAAATCCCATTCAAAGAAACCCCATTTCATAAACCAGAAAAATTCAAAAATTAAAACTAACCAAAAATACAAAGGGTAAATTCCCAAATCCAAAGCTGTTATGACGACTCCACACCAAAGAGGCGATGGCCCATTAATCGTACTCTCAATCACCTTCTGCATATCCGCCCCAATTAGCACCGCCAGCTCCACCATCACCCACACCACATCCTCGCCCTCGGCTACTCCTCCCTACAAAGCTCTGCCAAGTTCCGCCTAGTCGCCACCCTGAGTTAATCCGACAGCAGCTGCACCAACAGCCCCATCGCCGTCGCCCAAATCAGTAGCCACAACAGCAAGATCTAGGTCGTCACCCACTTTATCATTTTTTTTCCAAGTTTTTAATTTTACAAAATAAAAATCATTTTTTTAATATTTTAAATCCACATGGAAAATATTTAATTAAATTGTGGGATCCAGTTATGTACCACATCAACACATAACAGAGTTGTTGACAGAATTGTAACGGAATAATCACATTGATTCGCAACATCCATTTTCAGAGACTACATTGATCGATTTTCAATTTCATAGACCATTTTGATGAGGTGAGTCAATTTTAGATACCATTTATGATAAAAATCCATAAAAAAATATAAGAAACTAAAGTTACAAAACCACCCATCTTGCCCGAAGATGTAAGGCCTTATAACACTGAATTTGTCGTGCTTAACAATATTCTTATAATGCATTTTTAACAATTGGTCTAAAATTCCTTGTCCAAACATAGCTAATAGAACAAATACAAGTACTTGAACATAATATCAATATAAAGTCCAAGTAGAAATGTACATTTTGATAGATTGGTCATCAATACGAAAAGAGAATGTAACATTTTAAAAACTTCTGAATTAAGTTAAAACCTTCAGGTCCTTAGAGTTTCCAACATATCATAAGCTATACATGTTAAGTATTGAGAATGAATCTCACATTAACGAGTGAAGGGATTTTGCATGGACATATATGGATTTGGGTTATTTCATAATGACAATTAGTTTTATGGTAAAATCTCAACTTTCTTCATGGTATCAGAGCAGATTGTCTCATGTTTGAAGTTCAATGCTCACACGTGTTCCACATTACCTCGTTTGTGTTGTTTAATGTTTGGCTTGATGCTACACGTGAGAACACTTGTTGAAAATGAATCTCACATTACTGGGAGAATAAACTATAAATGGGCTTATATAATTAAGGGTCAAATTACTATTTATATTGTCAATTGTTTTAGGGAATATTATTGGCACTTCAAAAATCTCATTCTACACTCCTCACATGTATATTTTTCTTTCTAAATATAGAAAGTTCAAAGTATAGAATGAGAAATTTAAAGTGCTAATAACAATTCCTTTATTTTATAATCAAACATTAACTTTCTTTACCAAAAAGTGATGCATCATGCGCGAGACTCACAGTGCGATGGGAGAAAACAAAGCCTGATTAATTAAAAAGAACGCATGTATGAAGTGATGCATTATGCATGAGAGAACAACTCATGTGGAAGAGGACTGAGAATCTTCAGCTTTTTTATATGAGAAATCCCTTGGCTACTTACTTCCTCTTTTAAAATATTTTGTCGCAATTTACAGAAATTTGTGGATTATAATCGAATATTATAAATCATTATATAAAGATATCTGTGTAAACAATCAATTAAAAATATGGTCGTTTAGTCAATTAAACTCTAGCAAATAAATAGACAGTTTGTAATGCTTTTATTGAATTCAATCATCTTTTTTTATACAATTCGATCACTAAACAATCTCATATTTTATTGATTTTTGTAGAGATTTGCAAAGTATTCTATAATATTAACAATTTCAAGCATAAACATGAAATTTCGTCAACCGGTTATAAAGAAATTTGAGGAGGAACTCCTCCTTGTCTATTGAGAAGCCAAGTTATTGGGCGAGTGATATGACATTTCAAATTAGCCGTTGGATTTGCTCCTCTGTCTCTCTCTGTCTCTCTCTCTTTCTCTCTTCCCATTTCCGGCCTATTAGTCTTTTGAGCGGCTTCTCCTTCTGCAAGTAGTTTTTCATTTTTATTGTTTGGTTTCATTGTCAAGCTTTTAGCTTTGCAACTGAAGCATACATGTCATGTTTTTTTTTTTTTTTTTTTTTTTTTAAAGTTTGATTTCATCACAATTCTTGATTTTGCTTATATGAGTTTATAGCCCTCAACTGAATCGGACGACGAAAGTACAGAGTGTCTATTGGAATAAATCTCACAATGATGGAACAAGGGAGCTTGCATGAACGGTCTTGCCAGCACCAGTCACGTAATGAGCCTATCCTACCAGGGTTCCATTGGGGACCAGCCAATGGTGACCCCCGACAAGAACATCCAATGCTCACATACGACCATATGGTTGGGGTACCATCTAAGTTGTTCTCGCCTGAACAAGTTGACGACTACAAGTAACTGTTAAAAACAGCTCAAAACAAAAGGATGGGACACACTTCAGATCTTTCCCGCCATATAATGCCTCATGTCTTCCATCACTTCTCAATCCTTATGGCGACAGAGGAGTCCATTGAAGGACGAGGCTAGGTACTAGCTCGGACGATTTTATTTGTAAACATAAAAAACTATGATCCACACAGATACGATATATGCAGAACCAACTTGAAGGGAAAACATAATTCACCATTAATTAAACTATGTAGCATCCTGAGAAGTCATTACACGGCAGATTAACAAACACAGTTATCATTTTTCATTCATGGAATGTATAATACCTGATATATAGTGGCCCAGACGAGGACGAAAAAGGCTTTCAAGGCGAAACAACAGAGAAATAGCACAACATTTCGACTGGCGTGCTTCCACTTTTGAAGAGTTGCGAACTTTTCATCTTCATCTTCATCTTCACCAGCCTCCAAATTCATTCCATGTAGGGCCGCCTTAATCCTTCGGAGCTGTCTTTTCAGCTTCTTCAAATCATACAGGGTCTGATCATATTTCGATTTGGTGTTAACGTAGGCGAACCCCTTCTTATAAATCATCACCAGAACTTGTACCGATAGCAAACGATCAATAGTTAGCATAAGCTTAAAGTTAACTATAAACTTGTTAATGAACCCACGCAAAATTAACAGTTGCACCCCCATGTAAAAAATGTTTAAATTCATAGCGGATGCTAGAAGACGGGTGAGATCCAAATCTTGGTTGTCAGTCTCCATTTCCACCTCCGTGATTTTGTTATTGAAACGCTTCTTTAACTCCCTGAGGACGATGTTCGGATCCATGGTGTTCCTAAAAATACAAAAAGATTGAAACGTTTAACCAAAAAATACATATTGGCATACAACAGTTGCGATGCATGCATCTATAAAAACACAGCAGCATTATCCTACTAAGTGATGTCGGATTGATGCATGCATTGACATTGATGTTTATAGTCCAAAGTAATCACATTCTCCATGCTTTACAAATCGAAAGCTGCGTAAATATGTTTCACAACAGGGGAAGTTGAAATAATAAGATCAAAGAAGTGCTGTTGAAATTTAAGGGTCTTGATTTGATGAGTTGAAATAGAATCCTTATTTGAAATACAGCAATGGCAATTTCGATTTGGTTTTTTTGTAAAGTTCTAACTATAGGTATATGAAAAACCCGTTAAGTTAAAAAATACGTACAACATTAAGATGCAACTCTAAAAGATTATGGTCACGAAACTTGAACAAAAGTCACACAAATTTACATAGCATAAATATAAAAGTTAAGCGCCTCACGGCTATGTCATAATAGATTTGAACATTTGTCTCGGATCAACTTCCAAATCATAATTGCTCTAGTGAATAACTAAGGAAAATAGATAGGTGCGAGATGGAAGAGAATAAAAAACCAAGTATAAACAAAAAGTTAGAATTATGCATGAAAAAAAAAAAAATCTAATTAAAAGTTAAAAAAAGTTGAAGCTTGGCGGGAGCTTTACCAGTGTCGACCCGCCACCGTGAGCGGCGGAGAAAAAGAAGGCGCAGACCACCTCAGCCGCCAATAACAACTGAAATGGGAAAATCAGTAAAAGAAATCAACTTACAAGCCGAATTGTGCCAACAAATTCAAAAAATTCAAAACCCAAAACAAAATTTAGAAGGAAAAAAATCACAGATTTGAATAACCCAAATAAAAATAAATACCTGGAAGGGGTTGGGGAGAAGTGGGTTTGCTCTGCTAGGGCAAATGGGGGATTATTAGTAGTCGCAAATCGCAATGGTCTCTTCATTTCCCGCTGAAATAAGCGTACTTTCACCAAAGTTATTAAGGATAAAAATGTAATTACACCTACAAGAGACAATACTTAGAGATTAAGAAAGGATAAGAAATCTTTAGTTTGTTTTGATTGTTATCTCTTTTCTGTTAGCTGTGATGGCTTTGTATAAATACCCATAGTGTAAAGTTATTCATTGAATGAATGAGAAATATCTTTCTAATATGGTATCACTCGCCTTAAGTCTCATGACCCCCAATTTTTTATCCCTTTTTCCTGCTTCTCTCTGCACCGCTTCATCTTCTTTGTCTTCTCCGATCAATTGATCGCGTTCTTGATCTTGATCGTGATTCTTGCTCTTAATCGCAATCTCTTCCTCCATCTCTAGCTATGGTGACTACTACATCTCCATCTTCGGAATTGAATTCTCCTGTTCATCCGATTCCTGATGCAATCCCCAACCTTAATTCTGTGATTTCTTTTTCCATCACGATCCAAAACATTGGATCCATGGTTCCAATCAAGCTTACAACTACAAATTACCTCACCTGGAGTGCCTTGTTTGCTCCAATTTTCCGTCGTTACAATCTTACTGGTCTCATTGACGGAACTATGGTGGCGCCGCCCAAATATCTTCTTGATTCCTCTGGAAATCATATTGCAACTCTCAATCCAACCTATGTTACTTGGTTTAAGAATGATCAAAACATTCTTATCTGGATTAATTCCACTCTCTTTGAATCTTTAATCCCTTACACAGTTGGCGTGACTTCTGCTCGAGAACTTTGGGCGAAATTGGAATCGCGACTCGCCACTGCATCTCAGTCACACATTCACGAGCTTCGTTCTCATCTTCGCAGTCTTGTTAAAGGTGATTTGACTACTGCTCAATATCTCCAGCAAATTGAAGAAATTGCAGATGCAGTTGCATGTGCTAGTGCTCCTATGGAAGATTCAAAACTTATCTCCATCACACTTCATGGCTTACCTCCCGAATTTGACTCGTTTGTGGATGCTATTCAATTCCATATTGGTTCCACAACTATTGATGAATTATATGGCTTACTTCTCAGTAAGGAAATTCAACTTAACAATCGGAAGTTGTTCTTACTGAGAAGTAAGCCATATAATTCATCATATGATGCTAGGAAGTTTCTCATATGATGATAAACTTCAATTAGAATGACAATGAGATGCTAGGAAGTTTCTCATATGATGATAAACTTCAATTAGAATGACAATTCTAGTGAGACTAGGAAGTTGTTCTTCTCAAAGGGAATGTACCCTTTGACTCCCAAAGAAATAATACGTAAATAGAATCCTTTATGCATACGCAGAAAGGTGATTTATGTATTACATATTGTATGAAAACATTGATATAAGTTGTACCTAGAACGGTACAAGATGATATCAGTGCAAGCCCAGGATCAGAACCATGGCAACTGTCAAGTGAATCCTTAGGTATTTAAGAAATACTAAGGATGGATTCCTCAAGAATGAGGAAGAATTAGAGTAACGTAATGGAAGCGTAAATGAATTAGATTATGAATCTAATCCATCATAGAATATCTCTTCATTATGAATGAAGTGATAATGAGATATCTCTTTATTATGACTAAAGAGATATTTGGGTGGAAACGTTAAAAGTAATGACTTTAATGTGTTCCATCATGTATGCAAAATATATTGCCATATAGAAGCTTACAACATTGTTGTTTGGATGGGAAAGTTCATTTATGAACTCTCCATTCGGTTCCAACCAGAAAGTGTATGACACTAATGGGGCGATAGCTCAAGCCAAGGAATCAAGGTCTCATCAAGGTCCGAACTCAAATGAGAGACTGAACCACATGATTGAGAATCATGTATAATGGTGACGTCGTTATTCTCAAGGTTGCTTCTATGGATAACATATAGATATCCATTGTCTAGGCCTACTACTCAGCCATTTATGAAATGACTACATGAGAGGTATCATCACTGATGACTAAGCTGATTGGCTCTAGTACAAGTGGGAGATTGTTGGAAATGTGCCCTAAAACCAATCATATGATGATACTTTATGGACATTTCACATGTTAAACTAATCTAGTTTAATATTAAGGGCAAACATTATTGTTTGAGCCGTCTCATATAAATGTTATATGCTTAAACGATAAAGTCCAAGGAATATGTGATTGGAAGAATGCGATCTAAAGAAGTTAGATTCATGAGACCATTCTTTCGTTGACACATCCTAAACGTTCCTGATCATAGGATTGTCAATTGGGCATTGACAGTCCGTTAAGATCAGTACGTGCTATGTCTTCTCTCAGGGAGAGTGACTAGTCTCGAGTCATTGGTGTGTGTGACATCAAGACAAGTACGTAGGTGCTCAATAGAGAATGAGTTCACTGAACACGATCAACAAAGAGTTCTTATATTCATGTCACATGAGAACTCATGGTTGGGATAATGCAAAGTAGTCCTTTGACCTGAGGCATCACAGCTGTCTTGTGGTTAGGTACTTGATCTTTGATTATGTCAAAGTCACTCTATCAGGGTGTCCACGGCATCGTCGGGGTTAAGCCACTTAGCCATGGAGGCAAGTGAATGCGCAACAAGGGATCTCTAACCTTCAAATTGTTTGAGGGAGAATACTCTATGATATGATTTAGAATCTCTGGCCAGAGTATGAATGAGATGTTGGAATGCGTTCCAGATCACATTCAAGGTAATCATATAAGTACAAGATTCACATTGGATAGTAGACATGAATAAACTATCAAACCAAACAATGTGGTCAAGAGTATTGTATTAAAGAAAGACCGTATTGCATTTGTAATCCTAAAACTGAATAGGTTCTCCACCTCTTCTGATTAGCTTAGGTAACCATGACATGCTGCTAGGCGTCAACCATGTTTTGTGGAAGCCCTAAAAGTGTATTATCACTAACGGGAGAATTGAAAGTAAGTTTCAATTCACAATCGATTAGAAAGAGTTTTAATCGCCCACTGCCTCGCTAAAAGGAACCTAATGGATCGTTCACCGAGTAAGGTAGAGTTTGAAGAAACAACGGAGATGAGTAAGAATAATTAAATGGTTTAATTATTTATCTAAGGCTAGGATTAATTAATATGTTAATTAATCAAACAAATAAGTTCGTTAAAAACCTCGGGTTAGTTTTGGGCCGCAAGGCCCAATGGGATTTGAATGTCAAGCCCATTAACTCAAGTTGTATGACAACTTGAATAAACAAATGGCTTGAAAGCCCAATAAACCTATAGGCCGGCCATGTGTAAAAGAATAGGGCTTTTGGTCCATTAGGTCACTTATTTGAAGGGACTATATAAAGGACTTTATAGCTTAAAATTTACTAAGGGTTATTTTTGGGGGAAAGGATGAGAACACAAGCTCTCCTTTCTCTCTAAAATTTCGGCCAACCTTGGAGAGATCATCTAGCAATCAAACTCCTCCAAGGTCACTCATTTCTTCTTCATTATGCCTTGGTGATGAATAATTAGAGGTTCTCAATTTTGGGAACTTGGAGAAACCTTTTCATCCATCCAAATCCATGGATCTAAGATGCAAGGAATGAAGGCCCTCTCTTTGGGTGATTAGCCTTTGCTTATGCAAAGAGGAATCTACAAAGGTATTGATTTCTCAACTCACTTTGTTTTGAGTTGAGTCTTGGTTCACCTATCTACTAGGCTTTGAATTTCATGGGTAAATGTTTTGTTTTAAGTGCATACAAGCATGATTCCGCCTTTAATTGTTAATTGCATGCTATTGATGTTGCTTAAATGAACATGTTTTTCACAAATTTTCCTTCAATTACTTGTTGAAAACTCTCTGTGTACAAAAGTTATTGCCTTACGGTCAGATTCTGGTGAAGAATTTGTTAGCATTGTTGTCTATCAATTCTTAGTTAGCCATGGTATTCAACATCAACTTACTTGTCCCCACACCCTTGAGCAAAATGGGTGTGCAGAACGTAAGCACCAACACATAGTTGAGACTGCTAAGACTTTCTTGGCAGCATCTAAAGTGCCTCATGCTTATTTGGTTGAGGCTTTTGCTACATTTGTCTATCTCATTAACAGGTTACCTACTATCTCCAGATATTCTCCTTGGTAGTCTCTCTTCAAGAAAGCACCAGACTATAAGTTTCTCAAGGTATTTGGTTGCATTTGTTTCCCTTGGCTGAAGCCATACACATCTTCAAAACTAGATCCTAAAAGCAAGCCCTGTGTCTTCTTGGGGTATAGCTTAAATCATAAGGGTTATCTCTGTCTACATCCATCCACTCACATATTATATGTTTTAAGGCATGTTATTTTTGATGAATCAACCTTTCCATTTCATTCCATTCATTCTTCTTCAACTACCCCTGTTACCTCTTCCTTATACCAATCTCCCATTACATCATCTCTCACATTTACTCATTTTCCTCCCCAAACTGTCTATTCACCACCATTATCAACATCTTCATCCACTCTATTGAATCCTGCACCACTCTCACCATCCATATCCACCTTTTCACATCCTGCATCATCACCCACTTCTGCAGCTCCTTTAAATTCCACTTCCTCACAGCTTACACCACCTACCAATATTCACCCCATGCAAACACGATCCAAGTTAGGAATTTTAAACCTAAAGCCCTCACTGTAACTAAGCACCTCATTCATCCACCTCTTACAGTTGACTATATTCCTACAACCTACTCACAAGCTTCCAAATATTCCCATTAGCGCACAGCAATGCAAGAGGAGTTTAATGCCCTTATCAACACTGGTACTTGGTCTCTCGTACTTTCTTCCTCTTCTCCTAACCTTGTCGGTTGTAAGTGGGTTTTTCGGATCAAACGAAAACCCGATGGATCTATTGATAGGTATAAAGCCCATTTAGTTGCTAAAGGTTTTCACCAGCAAGAGGGTCTAGACTACAATGAAACCTTTAGTCCAATGGCCAAACCTGTGACTGTTTGACTCATTCTCACTCTTGCTGCCCAATATGATTGGTTTTTCAATCAATTAGATACTAGCAATGTCTTCCTCCATAGCACTCTTACTGAATCCGTGTTCATGCAACAGCCACCTAGCTTTGAAGATCCAACTAAACCATATCATGTTTGTCATCTTCACATATCCCTATATGGCTTAAAATAGGCCCCTTGAGCTTTGTATGATAAACTTCATCAGGCTTTGTCATCTCTTGGGTTCCAAGGCTCTCAAAGTGATCACTCTCTGTTTGTCAAGCGATCTCCCACTTTGGTATTCATCCTAGTCTATGTGGATGATATCTTAGTGACTAGACCATCATCTGCAGCTTGTCAACAAGTCATCACCCAACTCAGTGCCCTTTTTCCCATCAAAGATCTTGGTGCTCTTCACTATTTCCTTGGCATTGAAGTTAAAAGATCATCTTCAGGTATCTTTATCAATCAAACTAAGTATATTTTGGATCTCCTGACAAAAGCAAAAATGGAAGGTGCTAAGCCCTGCAACACTCCTCTTAGTACCACTAAGCTTGATCACTCTTCTCCTCTGCTTGCCAATGCTTTTGAATATCGATCTCTAGTTGGAGCTCTTCAGTACTTAACCTGGACTCAAACTGATCTCAGTTTTGCTGTTAATTTGGTTTGTCAGTTCATGCACAATCCAAGAATCTCACATATGCAAGCAGTGAAACGCATTCTCCGATATCTCAAGGGTTCTCTTGATCTTGGATTATGGTTCTCCAAGTGTTCTCAGGTTCCATCTATTCAAGCTTTTTTCGATGCAGATTGGACAAGCGTGCTCTTTAGACAGAAGATTTACTAGAGGCTATTGCATTTACTTTGGCAACTCACTTATTAGTTGGAGTGCCAAGAAGCAACCTACTGTTGCTCCATCATCAATTGAAGATGAGTATCGGCCTCTTGCTAATACCGCTGCAGAAATCACATGGCTATGCAAACTCCTTGCTGACATTGCTTATACTCTGCCTCATTCCCCCCAGTTATGGTGTGATAATGTCTCTGCCATTTCCTTAGCAAAAAATTTCATTTTCCATGCTCGAACTAAGCATGTAGAAATAGATTACCATTACATTCGTGAAAAGGTTCTGGCAAACCAAGTTTCTATGTCATTTTGTGGGTACACATGATCAGATTGTCGATATTTGCACCAAGTCTTTGTCAAAGCCCAAGTTCCTGCTTCTACTGTGACAAACTTCAACTGAGAATACCACAGTTTCGTTTGAGGGGGGATATTAAGAATAAAAATGTAATTACACCTACAAGAGACAATACTTAGAGATTAAGAAAGGATAAGAAATCTTTAGTTTGTTCTGATTGTTATCTCTTTTCTGTTAGCTGTGATGGCTTTGTATAAATACTCATAGTGTAAAGTTATTCATTGAATGAATGAGAAATATCTTTCTAATAAGTACGGCCTCTTTTTTCTTATTTCTCATGTTTTTGTCGCATTCCTCTCTTATGAATTATGATCGGCTCTATCCCCAAAATTACACTACAAAATCCCTACTGGCAACTGATTTACACGAAGCTCTATATTGAAAACGGAAATTACTTATATGATATGAATACACTGCTACAGTAGTGTTTTGCATTGAAATAAATATGTGTAAATTTTATCCATACGTCTTTATTTTATTGGTATGAGATCCCAGTGTGACAATGTATATGTGTTATGTAAGTGGATGTTAGTGAGAACTGATTTACATACGAAATGAGGTGAGTTTTAGTTTTTCTTTATTTATGGTCATCCAATTGAAAAAATTAAGCAAAAAGGGCAAACATGATTAAACATCTCTTGCTATCAAAAAATTTTCCCATAGGCCCAACTATAATAATTTCCATTTTAATCACTTCTCAAACCCTAATTAGTTACTAGTTTAGGATGATTTAATGTTGATTTTCCCAAAACCAGCACATTGAGTTACGCGCGCCTCTTTCGAAAGAGGTATACTCAAAACGACAACGTCCAGCAGTAGTTTTAAACATTATAATTTTTTTTTTTTTTTAATAAGTGTGCATTTCAAATCTGACGGAACTGATGCCCAAATCGATATTCCCTTCTGCATCGCAAACCTCAATTCCTCTGCGTCGATTCAGTTCTCCACCTTCGATTCCAGGTACCGCCATCTTCAATCTCATATATTGATTTGTTAGGTTGATTACAATTTGCAAGTATAAATTTAATTTTAATTTTATGTTTTCTTCGATTTGTTTGTTGCTGTTGAGATGAAATTTATTGGAAAGAATAAGAATGCGATTCTAGGGTTGGAGTAGCACAAATTTGAATTTGGAATGAGATTTTAGGTTTTATCAACCAAATTTATTCTCGCGTATATTTTTCAAAATCCCCTTTATTTAGCTTAATTTAATTTTGCAAAATTTTGTGATTCTAACTGGTTTCTGTGAATTTTGTTTCCTGCTTGTGACTGATAATCTTGGTTTTTTTTTTTTTTTTTTTTTTTTTTTTTAATCTTTCACAAACAGGGAGGTTTTGTATTGGAGAATGTTCCAAAATCGAAAGGGTTAGGGTTTTGTTAATAGTTAGAAAAACAAGGAGGCACTAGAGATGATGAATTCATGTCCTACTATCTTTGTAATTCTCATGTTTTTAGTCATCTTGAGCTCTGGGGGTGTTCATGTGCTATCTGTTCGTACACTTTCGACTGATCCTTGCAACCCCAAAGCCCAACAGGACCCACAAAATCTCATTTCTGACCAGCTAACCGTACTCATCAATGGCTACTCCGAGTCTCGCATCCCTCTCCTTCAATCCATCGTCTCCACGTATGCAGCCTCGTCTTTGGTTTCATACATTCTTGTGCTTTGGGGAAACCCTTCCACCCCATCCCAGACCTTGTCCCAACTGGCTCGCAATCTCACAGACTCCTCCTTTGGATTCAGTGGCATCTCTGTAATCCGCCAAGCATCTGACAGCCTCAATAATCGGTTCCTCCCCAGGCCCAAAATTAAGACCCGAGCAGTCTTGGTCTGTGATGATGATGTTGAAGTTGACCCGAAATCCTTCGAATTTGCATTTAAAATGTGGGGATCAAACCCGGATCGGCTGGTAGGGTTCTTTGTCAGGTCACACGATATAGATTTGTCAAGGAAAGAGTGGATCTACACCGTTCATCCAGACAAGTACTCTATCATGCTCACCAAGTTTATGCTTTTTAAAAGCAAGTATTTGTTTCGGTACAGCTGTGCAGGAGGACCGGTGATGGCCAGCATGAGGAAGATCGTGGATAGGATGCAAAACTGCGAGGACATATTGATGAATTTTGTGGTAGCGGATGAGGTTAATGCAGGGCCTATATTGGTCGGAGCCGAGAGGGTTAGGGATTGGGGGGATGCGCGCAATGATCATGATGATGGTGATGCACGACGAGGATTGATTGGGGAGGTTGCACAGGTGGGTTTGAGTAGTAGGAAAACGAAGCATAGGAAGAGGAGAGGGGAGTGTATAGGTGAGTTTCATAGGGTGTTGGGGAGAATGCCTTTGAGGTTCAGTTATGGGAAGGTTGTCAACTCCGTTGGCGAACAAGGTCTGTGTCAAAAAGGAGGGAAATTGGTGTTTTGTGATCAATCATAGTTGTTTTTCTGGAAGAACAGAAATTTTCAAATATTAGAAGGATTGAAATCTCATAGTCTTAAGTTTTATGGTGTAGCACCCTGGAGAAAAAAATGCTGCCGTAGCACTCCTTCAGTCTTGCAGTTTACAATGCTAACAAGGTCAGGTTGTGTTTGTCGAGGAAGTTCCTCTGCTTATTGCACTGTTGATGGATGACAAGGCAGGCATTATCGACAATGCCTTGGAAGTGCTTGCTCGAAGAGTTGAGGAGATTGGAAAGAGCAGTGTTTTAGTGCCTATTCTTTTTCGTCTTTTCTCGAAGAGGGCAGGAAAATTCGATCACTCAACCGGTGCTGCTTTCAATGTCAGAATCAGATTGTTTGACACTACAAGACTGTTCTTTTTTTTTTGTTTGATTCAGCACAAAAATGAAAGTGGGGTTGATTTATTAGAAATCAATTCCATAAATGAAAGTTGATCTTCCTTTTCGTATGCGGTGGGCTTGGGCCTGGAAGAGTAAGGCTACTTTTGCAACTTCGTGGCTGTTTGATCCAATTGAATGGGTTGGGCTGCCTCTTAAAAAAGGATCATCCTAGCCATGTATATGCCAATTGTTTCACCGATTTACATGACATAAGTAACCAACTAGCTCTTTTGTCTAATGATATTTTCGGTTTTTATACTGAAACAAGTCTCAAATTCAGTATAACAGCTAAAAATCTCAAGAGTATAAGATATTTAAGAGCATATTAAAGAATCCTCAAAATAAAACCCAATGCATGAATCAAAACTAGGATTGGCTATGAATTGTCAGTAGAACGCAATCAGCAAATCGCACGATTCCAGGAATATGCTTGCCAGGAAGCAACCAAATTCGGAGTCAATCATACACCTTGAGCCAACCAGCCTTTCTTCTTCACGACCCCTACTGGTTGGGCTTTGGCAGCTCGGCTTCCGGTGGAGCAGCCCTTAAATCATGCATCAACATTTGAAATCCTATATGTTTAAGGAACGAGAAAAAACTGTTGTGTCGTAGGTGTATATCTCTTGTATCTAGTACACTCAATTAGGTGAGTTGAGTGTTGTAGATATAGTGGGATATTGTTGGGCATTTTCTCGAGTAAAGTAATCAAGGGTCCTCATGTCCCCAAAATGTTAAGTGCCTCTTATGGCCGCCTGCAATTTACTCGTTTGACGACTCTTTAAATTTGAGTAGGGCAGTTTAACCAGTTAGCTAGCTTGTAAGGGCACTCTCACAAAGGGTAAGGCTTTGTGCATTGGGAGTTGCACTTATGTGAGTTCTAATAGTAACCAAAATATAGTTTTAGCTAGTCAGGCTTGCAGTACTCAAGTTTCTCTTCTTCGTTCAAACACCTATAGAAATGGATCGTAATGATGGGCTAAGTGCACACTTACTTAGAAAAAGGAATACATTAAAGGATAATGAAATGGAGCTGTAAATAATTGAAGGGCCATTGCTATTAATGTGAAGAAAGTAGAAATCAAGAAACCCTAGGACTCGAAACATTCAAACAAACAAAAAAGGTGCCCTGCTCCTAAGCCCTAAGGGAATCCAATGATAAGAACTCAGAAGAAACCTTGTAGTGTAAGAAAGACATTACTACCACAAGTAGAGTATAGAAATTAAGTCCATTTTTGGTATAGAAAATTTAGTCCAACATTTCACTGTCATGAAATCGAAAAGGATTCATTGTAGTAGTCGTCTTTGAATTTTACCTTTAGCTTAATTTTAGTCCCTAAACTCTTATACTTGTTTCTTTTGTTCTCAAACTTAACAATATGTTGAACCATTGGTCATTTTCATTAATGTTGTCTATTTTATGGTTAAATTTAGGGATATAATAGGAATTTCATCCCACATCACTGAAATTGAATTAAAAAATGAGAAATGAGAAAGAAAAAAAAACCTAAACAAACCAAAATTTTTGTGTTAGAATATTGAATACAAACGAGTTCTTTTTGGTAGTTTAATATGTGATTTCTTAGTTGTTTGAGTTCAACCACAGTTTGATCTCCTACTAACTTTGAAATCACATTGCCTAATATTTACAAGTTGCTAAAGTCTAACCATTTTAATTCTGTATTTTATAGTTCAAATTTAATTTTGTTATAAGTTTTTTGAACAAACGATATTATCTACATTAAGGGGTGGGGGAATGGGCTAAGCCTCACAATGGGTCTAATTTGTGAACACGAATTTTCTGCGACAAATGAGACAAGAACACGTGTACAAAATAAATGTATTTTCTGATTCGATCGCCAGAATGCAAAGTGTGTATGTAGGGGGTTGTTGATCCATGGGTCGCGATGTCTTGATCTCGAATGAACGGATGCTGCAAGAGTTTGTCTTGTGGCGATAGAAGAATCAATGTGTGTATTCTTAATGAGTTTGATGAAGAATGCAGAGAATTTTTTGAGTGTTCTTGAATGTTAGAGTATTTGGAAATTTGGGAGTTTCACAAGCTTGAGAGCTTCAGTGTATAGGTGTGAGAATCTAGCAATAATGTGATTCAAATTTATTGATGAGAATCAAACATAAAACCTCTCACTTATTAGTGAAATGAAATACTATTAAATTGTAGTACTAAATGACTATTGCTAGTTTCTCACACCCAGACATTGAACTATAAATAAAATTCATGGACTATTGCTACAATTAAGCCAACGGAAAACTTGTGATGTTTTCTTTTCGGCCACTTGGTCATTTTTATGCAAGAAATTAGACTACTTTTTCATGGTGGTTCAGACGTGGGGGCTTTTCTGACAGTTCCCCTTCGAAAAAAGTTAGGTATTACCTGGTCTTAAATAAGAGTAATGAGGCCATGAAAACGAAAAATCCAAAGCTAATTGCTTTTAAAGAAAAAAAAAAAAAAACTCAAACGAAAGTGAAGGAGAAAACCCTCCTTTTAAGCAAGGCATGCAAAGCATCCATCAGCGTCTTTGTTTTTGGAAAGTGCTATCCATAAACTCATTTTTATGTCTTACACTAAATTTTTTATCATTGATCTTTTTCAATTTATTTAATCTGATTGTTGAAAATTAAAAAAAATATTTGAGAAATAAAAATTAATATGTGAATATCACTACCCTTATTTTTAGGTCGGCACTTTTCCAAATCAAGCTTCCCTCATTGCTTTGCCGCACTTAAAAAAAATCCTCAGAGATCCACTATATTTACCTAAACAAACCACTAACCCTTGCTATATGCTTTGCTTTCGAGGCATTAATTTAATTTATAACTTTTGCATATAAGATGGAAGACTACGTGGTCTGATCTTTTGTTGGTTTTTGACTGCATTTCATTGGTGACCACCTTAGTGTAAAGCTTATCCAAATTGATTGAAGAACATAGAGAGTCCTTGCTTGACTGTACTCTATAATTCAAACTTTATATCCATGAAATCACAAGGAAACTTTATGAAATATGATAAGGGCGTATGCCACTATCATTTCCATATGGGCTCCAATGCCAAGGGCATAAAGAAACACTTGGTCCATCTATAATAATTGTCTTCAATAGACTTGCCTATAATATATTAGTTGCTTACACATTTGTAAATAATTGTCGCTTATTTGTAGTGCATTGATAACTTACCGTCTTGCAGTCGTTACAACTACATGAATGACTTATGCTAGTATTGCTTAAAGCAATATCAAACTTCTAATGATATGCACTAGCTAGTGTTGTGATTAAAGAGGATGATGTAAAAGGCTAGGTGTGTAGACTTAGCAACACCATTTAATAATAATAATAATAATATAGTAATTATTATTCATAGTTCTAGTTCCTCAATACTTGAAGGCATGTCAAATTCCTATGGACGAGGACCTATCAAATAAGAAGAGCCAAGTCTCTAGAAGGATATCATCAAATATAGCCTCATAGTGAAAATGGTTGAATAAAAAAATTAGACCTTCCATTACACATAAGGACCAATAATTCACTATAACAATTCTATTGGGTAACCTATTTAAATATGTGGCCCCAAATAATCTTGCATCTAATTTCATCTTTGATTTTATAATTGGTCATGTTCAATTAAAAATTAAACTGTATTGTTATTGGTCTTGGGAAGATTAGTCTAACCGTACTGCTGAAGTGCTCAGTTGCATCAACTATACTAATGATGAAATATCATATTTACATGTTATTTTATACTTATGAAATATTAAACGGTCTAATCACGTACCACATTTAGTACGTGTGCATTCAAATTGACTAATCGTTTCATGTTTGCGTCGACATGAACATATTGATAATCTCATTTTTGGATTTAACATGTTATTGCGTGTTGATTTGCTATTTTAACAAACTTTATAAATCAAGGCCATATCCTAAAACAATAACTTTAAGTAATGTAAAAACATGACATAGAATTTTGAATAAACTACTTTGAGTATTCTAACAACGTAATATATTAAAATTGTAAAACATTTTGAACTAGCTTCAAGGCCAGTTTTGAGTTTTCAATTGTCTGGGGCAAAATTCAAATGGTGTCTTTTGTAGATTAATTAATAGACATCTTTTTACACACTAATTAATTTTATTAACAATGATAAATATCAGGATTATAAAATAATATATGTGGACTACAGCCGAAGAGAAGGAAAACTATGCGATCAAGAAAACACAACTAGTTTTTTTTTTTTTTTAATTTGAATATATGTAGGGACAAAAAATATTTGGGAAATTCTTATAAAAAATAATTAAGAAATAGTTTGGTGCCCATAGAAAAACAAAAATGCTCATGTGTATTAAATAATTTAAAAAGTAAAGAAATAAAAGACATTACGAAGCATCGAAACGCAATCTCATAGAAACACTTTAATAAGTAATCAAGCTATTTGATATTTATACGAATATAACACAAACTCATACTAAATACCTTAATATTTTTGTCCCTTCGATTTTTTGGGCTCCGGACGGTCGCCCGGTTGACACTAGGACAATGCTAACCCTAACTAGCTTTTAATATAAATATTTGAAAAAGTCTCAAGTTCAAATTACACCCTGAAAAAAATAATCAAACATAACTACTAACCAGGCAATTACCTAATCGATGTTTTCGTTAACTTTCATTGAAACAAATTTTTCGTCTTCTAAACAAAGAACCCGAAACCTTAACAACCATTGTTCTAAAAATATCCGCCTAGGCCCTGTCTAGACGCTAGGCGGTTGGTCACTGTCCTGATTAATGCCTAGATATTTGAAAATTAAGAAAGGGTGCCTAGACCTGCTGAGGTGCCTGCCTAGGTTGCGACTCACTTAAACAGAAAATAGATAATTTTTATTTTGCATTTTTTTTTTAAAATTGTAAGAGATTTGTTGAATACTTAAATGAGCACACATTATATGCTTACGTCCCTATGTTTTCATTATGTTCCAATACTTCATAATATATATATGTCACTCTATTTTGTAGTTTATGATGAAATTATATTTATTTTAAGTATAAACACACTTATTTACATGAAATATAATGGATTTACTTAAATCCACATAGTCTGCTAGCTAGGTGCCCACCTAAACCTCGCCTAATCACCTAAGCGCTAAGTTCCAACCCGCTGTCTGACTAGCGTCTTTTAGAACCTTGCTAACAGCTAATAATTTAACCCCATTAATGTCAAAACCCTTCCGGAT